GATCACAGCGGCCAATGAGTTCCTCAAGAAGTATGGGCTCACTGATGTGCCAGAACCGTTCTGGGCATGCCTGCCCCACGCAGATATTCACGAGGCTCTCACCCCTGACATATTACATCAACTTTATCAAGGGCTCATCAAACACTTGATAGGATGGCTGGAAAAGATTATTGGACCCACCAAGCTTGACACACGTATTCAGCATCTGCCCCCTGCCCATGCTCTCCGTCATTTTAAGGACTGAATAACCCACCTCACCCAAGTGTCAGGAACTGAGCACAAGCAGATGTGCAGGCAAATCCTTGGCTGCATCATTGGAGTCGTCCCAGTTGATGTCATGAAGGCCACCCGTGCTCTGCTTGATTTCATCTATCTAGCACAATATGAAAATCATTTGCCTGAGACTCTCAAGTTCCTACAACACGCACTCAATGAGTTTCACCGCCACAAAGCTATTTTTCTCAGAGTCGGTGCTCATTTGGGTATGTCCATTTTGTTGACTAATCCATCAACCTTTCTAATCCACTTCATGCTTGCAGCTGATAATATGAATTTCCCGAAACTCCAGTCTCTTCAGCACTACGTACACTCGATTAACCTCTTCGGAACGACAGACAACTATAACACTGAGGCATCTGAGCACCTACATATCGACTATGCCAAAGATGCCTTTGCAGCCACAAACAAGAAAGAAGAATATCTCAAACAGATGGCCCTTTGGCTTGAACACCGGGAGAAAGTTTATTCCTTCTCCTTGTACATCAAATGGCGTCTCAACGAACAGAGCCTTCCCACTCAAATGCCACGCAAATGCCCTCGTATATCCATTGCGAGAAACCCAAATGTTTGTGGCATCTCTTTCCAATCCCTAGCCGAGGACTATGGGGCAGTATCCTTGACCCATAACATGCGCTCCTATGTAGCCAAATTGTACAAAATCATCACACACTCTTCAATCCGTGCCGCTGAAATCAACTTCCCCCGACCAAGCGTAGATGTATGGTGGCGGCTGAAGTTCAGCAATGACAATCTCTGACTGTCATCTGCCAAACAGACGGAAGACATTGTGCATGCAGAGCCAGTGCAAACCACTTGAGCCCGGAAAACCCACAATGCTTGCTTTGACACTGCATTAGTCCAGCATTCTGATGGCCACCATACTGGCATCAGAGGTAAGTTTTTTTTGACCACTCGCCCCCCTGTCACGAACCAAATATGCTTGCTCCCTGACTCCATCTATGCAGGCCTGCATGTTTGTCAGGTCCACGTCATATTCAAACTATCGGGCTCCTTCATTAAGGAGTCTCTCCAGGCCTCTCACCTTCCTCCACTTCACGCAGACATCCCAGTGGCAGCGCTGGGGCCCCTGGCATATGTGGAATGGTTCACCACTCCTGATTCGAGATCAAAGCACACAGATTCAGGGATGTTCCGAGTGTCACAGAGTATAGGCTTGGATCATCGCCGCGAGACTTCCATCATTGAGCTCAAATCATTCCAGCAAGGTTGCCATCTTTATCCAATTTTTGGCAATGGTCAATGCAATCGAGCTTGGACCTCTGACAACGTTCTTGAAAGATGTTCAGATTTCTATGTCAACCCTTATGTAGACAATGATAGTTATGAAACTATTTGGTAGTTTAATGCCCCAATTGCACCTCTTCTATTTTCCTGGAGACCATATCTATATGTGCTACCCAGTTTCAATAGCATGATAGGATGCTAGGGCAGTCTATGTACCCTACTAGTTAGACACTCGCACTACCTAGGGCTACATAGTCCTCTAGCTGGCTATCTGAGCTATGGGCATGCGCTGGAGCTCTGTAGACCAACAGGTGTCTATGTAGTGCTCCCTAGACAGTGGGCAAGCTATGTTGCAGGAGGTTTTTTCTGATGACTCACCCAGCTTGCAAGCAAATGATTTTTCACAAGCATTGCTTTTTTTGATGGTCTTCAATATTTTTAGCTTACTCTCGCCTTCAAGCTTTTTTTGGAATAAGATAGCTTAGTTTACCAATCACCTTCAAACTTTCTTCAGAATAGAATGGTTTTAGCTTACACTCGCCTTCAAACTTTCCTCGGAATAGGTTAGGTTAAACTCGCCTATTATTTCTAGGCTAGTTTGTTGGGGAAATACACATAATTGAAGGGGGCGCATGACACGAAAAAAAAAAAACACAAAAAACCGCGCGATGGCATGTAAAAAACCGCGCGAGGCCTGTAGCTCCAAAAAATCCGCGCAGGGATCCAAAAAAATCCGCGAAATTGATTTTTTGTGCATTTTGAACACGATAGCTAAAGGAACGTAAGAGTTGCAATGCGAGTGGTGAGCACAAAGGCAATCCACACAATTAGAGTCCATGGTCGATTGTATTAGCTCTTCTGTGCTAAACACAGATAGATTGTTAAGGATGAACATTGAATACAACGCGACGGATGTGAGCGGAAGATAAAGATATCACGAAGTACGAGGCTACAAAGAATCGGATCAGGATATTGAGCCTGAGTCGCATTTCCGAGTGGGAGGTTTTATCGAGGAAGGGCTTTAGGGGAAATCCTCAGACATATCCGGACGATAACCACCTAATAGTTCATCACCGAACTCTTGACCAAAATTCGTCAGTGCTCGAGTAGGAGGGTCTGCTCGAAAGATAGAAAGTGTCGCGGTTTGATGAGGATGGTCTGCATAGGATCGAATATCCAGCAGAAAATGCGCTATGATAATTGCTGACAGTCTATACTCACGTTCACTTTGCGGGTTGTATAAGCCTAAGAACATTGACTCACGGCAAAGAAAATGTGTTCATTGTACTGAGTGTAATCTGCTCCAACGCGTCATCTATTTTGACAACAGAAACTGGGAGTAGTAGTCTTACCCCGTCGACCTAGAGAGTGGAGCCGGAAACAGACACCAATCAGTCAAATGATAAGACTGGAAAAAATAAACCTCACATAGAGAGAAATAAGGGCAATTGTCTCTAATAATAAACCTGGGCTGTAAAAGACAGAGTCAAAGTGAAACAAATGCTACAGTTCAGTATGTGAAACATACACAAAGGACAGGAGGCCTAACGGCAACTTAGCACCTCAAGTATTTTACAAATAATCACCTACCACTTCGCAGAATCAATGACTCTAGGCTGGCCCCTTCCAACACGATTCGAGTCTTCCGGCGTTGGGAAATGTAAGCCGTCCGCCAAATAGTGAAGACGATCAGTATGATTTCGAATGCAACCCTCAAAGCAGTGGCGATCGTTTGCGCTACACATTCTGCATCAGACTTGGCACATGAGAATTTTTTGCTCAGGCGTACATCTGTGAGATATGTTAGCAAGCCAGGGTGCCCCCATGAATTGAACAAGACTTACAGACGCTGTAACAACGTTGCTGGAGCAAATAGACATGTGCTTGCCGCTATAGACACCTACATAATCAACGCTAGCCTAAGACATAACAGCTTACTACTCACGAAGTCAGATCCCACTACAGCTACTCCAAGAGAGCCTAGTCCGATAAGGATCTTCACATTTCGCTCGTATACCGCATAAGTGCGTAGAACAAGAACCGCTAGACACACAAATCAGCCGAAGAGGTGGCAACGTGATCCAGCAAGACATTCTGGCCTATGAAACCGCTGCGGGCAATATTTGCTAAAATAGCCGTGAGGCGGTATAATTGTTGACATCTGGGACCGCCATCTCCTCAGACCCGTGCACATGACAATGGACTAGAAGACTGACTGCATCAAGACAGCGTGAGCCTACAAAAATAATACATAGAATTAGTTTTAAAAACAATTACCTTCACAGGCGACCAGGGAAGTAAAGGTAGAGATATAGGGAAATTGAATATGATCTGCGGAAATGGCAGGAATCGAATCATGAAGTAAAGGGCCGTCGACAACCGAAACGGCCTTTGCCATATCAACTGGACCTCGTCTGGAATCGTGAGGTAGTAGTCATAAACAAACATCGCTATTGACACTTTCAACACTTCTAGTCTGGCAATCAATCATAGATGTAAGCAACATACCTAGGACTCCATAGTTCCCACACATGCCCAAAAACCTACATAGTCATTTCAATGATCCTGACATATAATTTCTCTCGTCACGAGCTAAACTCACACATAAGACGCCTCTTGGACTTCTGTAACGTCATCCATTGGCGACCCAGAGTCTTGAAAAGGGCTAAAACGCGACGGTTGCTAAACAAACGTAAGAGCTTCAGTGCCAATGGTGAGCACACACGCAATCCACGTAAGTTTGTGGTACATAGTCAGTAAAGAGGGCAACATCAAGACGTACAAGGTACTGGCTGACGGTGCGACTAATATACAACGCGAAAGGCGATCATAAGGGAGGAATCCTAAAACCACGTAGGTACTTATATACTGGATTTCCTATCCTGATATCGATCAGACTCTAGCAACAACCCTGACCGAACCCGCCGGCGATCGATTCCCTTCGAGTACGGAGTTCACAGTCGATTGCAGTAACCAGTCGATTGTTATCGTTCGGCACATCGGCCAGTGCTCCGATCTCATCGACAGCGGTCCGGACGAGGATTAGCAATATCCCCCCGGAGTCCTCGAAAGCTGGCTGGGTTTAGTTACTGTGAGTAGGGTTGCACGTCGACGCGCATCGTTCCGTCGGCTTACAAAACCACTTATATAATCTGAATCAAAATGCATACACGAAGTTAATACGAGCTCCCGCTAGGCCAACAATCTTGGGTAGAAGGATGGTACGATGGCCCAGGTGGTAGATGAGAGTCATATAAATAATGATAATAAGATTCTTGTGATTGAGGTGGCCCAGGCTCACAGTGAGGGACTGGTTCGTTAGGATTGGGATTGTGACTCATTGTAAACACGGAAGAGTCAGCAGTGTCTTGTTCTAAACACTGGTTAAGCTCTGGTATAGGCACCGTGCCTGAGCTTTGACTTTGGAGGTCTCCGAGGCCTGCCTGAAGGGTATGCATTTGTTTGTTAGTTTTGCATAACTTCTTATATGCTCGTTCAATTCCTTTGCCTGTCTCCTTAGCACGCTTGAGGGATACAGTTTGAGTCTGGACATTGGTTTGTAATCCAGTAAGCTGCTTATAGGCGGTTTGAAGCTCAACATCGTGAGCTTGAATGGTGCGTTTCTGAACCGCACCTGGGAATATTCTAAATTAATAATTGAAATAGGAATACAAAATCGTGAGAGACATACTGGCCCGGGAAATAGCTCGCACAGCCCGCCAAAAGTGTGTTGGTGGCTGGTCTCTTGAAGGAATGCCATGCTTGCATAGCAATTCTATGCCTGACATCGCTCGGGAGTCGTACTGCATCCCACGCATAATACCTGCCAGCATGGTAAGTCTCACACCGTCACATTTATGCTGCGGTGAGCCTGCTCAATTCCATTTGAAGTTGAAGGGGAGGCCTTCCAGATGTCCATTGGGATCTTGCTCAGAGGTTGGTAGAGTGCTGCCAGGGCAAAGCCACCTGCAGATTCCTTGTTTTTCAACCAATCTAAAGGGACTGATTAGGAGCCAGTGATAGAAATAAGTAAGTAGAATGGCCTCACCGATAGCCTTCTTGCCTCCCTGACGAATCTGTTGTAGCGTGCCTTCGAAATCAGGCAACGCTTCAGCTACGGCAATGCTCAGCATGGCCGTGCGTACTTCGAGAGACACCTGTCCCTTCAGTGCAAGCACATTTCTTACAAAATGTGTGAAGCAATAACGGTAAAACCGAGCAAGGTGCTCATAAGGGGTAAGTGCATGCAACGCCTTACTCCACTCTATAACGCAATAACCTGCCATATTTCAGCACATTTCTTCGCAATATAAGCCCAATCCTAAACGGATCTTCAGTATCTGTATGTTTAGGATTATGAGAGGGATCGTTACTCACCCAATGCTTGTCCTATATGTCCATCCGCCATGAAGGTGTCAAAACCGACCCCGTGAATGTGTCGGAACTTCACAATCTCGCCGGTGTCTTCGTGCACAATTGAAAAAATGCGATTGAATAGTATACGGTGAGCTTCTGCACTCTGCGAAGTTGTGAATGCACGCGCGACTACAATGGCTAGTAATCCGGTGAGTTCATGCATATATATTGGATATTGCGAACTCAACGACTTACAGCAAAGATATTCTGGGAACCACGCCTCTATTTCGAACTCCTGCCAGTTGTGAAGACGTTTGAAAGAGGTGTCAATAGAAGGTTGTCTAGTTTGCAATAACAGCTGACTCATGGCCTTGAACATGCAGATAACGATGTAGATTTTCCCTTCACCGGACACGCTGTGTTCCTCAACACAGTGCACATAACGCTTCTCGGGCGGCAGGCTTCTGTGTTCGGAAAGGAGACAGTAGGCACCTATATTGTTATTAGGTTGGGCTGGAATATGAGTAAGTGGATCCTTGTACCTTCGAGCCCCGTCCCACATGGATAATGGATGTTTCGAAGGTTATTTATAATCCGCGCCATGTGGTCTGCATTGCTCAAGGACGGATGTAGGTCACCCAGCGTAGGATCACAAAGATCCACCCATCCGAGAACTTTGCGCAAGCCCGTCATAAACGCTGAGTCCAACACAATTCGCCGTGGGGTAGCGTCTGCGAGTTTCCATTCGAGTGCCTCAAGCAGTGAGGTGAAGACATCATGGATCGCCTGGGGAGTCTTGGTGGGAGTAGGATTGGTATGTGAGTGTGGGTTTCGACAGACGAGTAGGACGTATGGGCAGCGACCTAGGTCGATGGGATAATAGAATTCAAATCCTGCAAGACAGGGCTCAGTACGATCCATGGTACCTCGGGTGAGTACCCCATGGGTGTCTCGGTGCCATGTTGCTAATCTGGTTTCAGATGGACATCATATGGTTGTTGTTTTTGAACTCACGGCACAGCTGTTTCTGCTCTTGCGGCGCAGCGACGGAATCGCATGCGGCCATCGGTCCATAACCCTCAAAACAAGCAGCTGCTTCGTAAGCCAATATGGTATGCATGTCATTACACATTAACGCCTGCAGGTAAGGAGGATCGAATTCCTTTAGGTTGCGCAAGATCAAATGTGCGCGGTGTCCTTTGCGACGATGTTCACATCTGAGGTAAGGTGGAAATTTTCGTGAGATCTGGTGCGCATGTTAGACTGCGAGGCTGACTCACTGAATGAAATTCTGTAGATATACATTTCGGGCCATGGTAAGACACCCTCCACACTTATTCGGGAGACGTTCGCGTGCTCGCACGTCTTGCAGGGCTTGATACAAAGTATAGGCACTGGGTTCGTCTCCGAAATACTCATCCTCGGGGGCATCTACGTCGTGTCCCGGATGCAAATCAGACCTCCGGGGGGGGCCGCAGTCTCTGTCGGAAAGGGGGCAGCCGTTCTCTCGAAGAGCGCAAAAAAACGCCAAGGTCTTCAAGAATACCTCACGAGGGGCATGCGACGTGTGTGGGTATTCAGACCTGGGAGGGGGTTTATCCAAGAGTCGTGTTCCGTTGAACGAACAATACTTGAGACATCGGCCTGCTGATCATTAGCATCTGAATCTGGTAAGCCTTGCCCGCTTACAAGAAGTTCTCAATTGATAACACTGGACCGCCTTGTGGGTCTCGATATCTTGCAGGAGGTCACAGGTGACATTGGGATGCCCCCCATGAGCATCACCGAGCGAATATTGAACATTATCCTTGGGGTTTAAAAACGGTTGATTTAAATCTATTGCGAAGCGGTGAGCAATTGCTTCCCCCATTACGGTGCCTGTCTGCGGGTATTCGACGATAGCTCCTGCCAGATGCTCCACGATAGCGTGGGCATATCCTTTCCGTGTCGTTCGATTTTGGCCATCGCGGATTTGTTGTTCGGTGAAGGGGGTCGCCAGGGGGGGGGGAGTATCGAGAATTTTTGACAAGAGGATGTGAGACCGTGGGTAAGTGCACATTCAAGACATTTTGGACCTGGAGCAGTTCCGAGTTGTCACTAATGGACTCATCATCCTCCAGGATGCCAGCGTCATCAAGAATTTGCCTCGCCATCTGCAATGCCCCCAGCTGCTCAAACGTGAGGGGCATTTCGTGCCCTTTCACTCCCCTCAATGCCCCTCATTCTTATCGAAAATTGCCAGAGCACCGAGCCCGGCCCTTTGCTACGCCATTTTTCCACCTCAGAGGTTTCAAGATGTCACCTCACAACAGATGATCCCATACCCCGGGGGCCATGGCAGGAAGTTAACCTGGGCCGTTCAACGTTCGTTCACTCATCTAGATTGTGGTGAGGTGAGCCCTATACATTTGCAGAGCTTCTATGGCAACATTTCCGACCAAGAAACATCCGCACAATACCTTTTCCAAAAGGAGGCATGCAGCGCTGCCCCGACCGTAGAATGATTGCCACCATTCATGTTTTACGGTGAGTGGTGACCTTTCTACAGCTTGTCCAATGATGTCTAACCAATTTAAATATAAAAAATTGCATTTGTTGCCAAGCTACGCTCTTTTTTTTTGGGGGCCGCATACACGAATGACATCACATCAACAGATTTGTTTCGACGATATTGAAGGCTTGCGCTGTGAAAATTCATCCTCTGGCGCTTCACTCTTCACCCATTGTACCACTCTGAGTCACACGGTTCTCCAAGCCCTTCAATGCAACTAAACAACGTACTAGTCTCTACGGATCTATGCAGGACCTTTTCTTTTTGGCTGCCATGGTCATTCTCCCCCGCTCAGTCCACGATTTTTCTGCATAGAGTCGTTTATTCTTGGGCTTCACAGACCACTGTGCCCGGCGCCGCCCCCATTGAAGTGGATCTGCGAGTGCATCCATCTCACCTACCGGTTGTGCCACATGAGAGACATGTAGATCTAGAAGAGTGGGTCACGGCATGAAAATTTTGGACCTAGACTGAGCTGAGATCGTTAAAAGCTGACCTCTCAGACGTTAACTTAACCATTCGCACCCTCATAATCGACTCAGCCTACACTCTCTACTACACAATAACCCCCCTCATGGCACCTTATATTAACAAACATCACTCCCTTATAATGCGTCGTTTCTCTCTTCGACTCCGTGAATGAGCAACAGAGTACGCACAGTCGTATAAAGACGAGCTCTTTGCTCCTTGTCTCGCTATGCAGGCCCGGTCTCCCAACCTTGTGTTCTACGACCGCGCAGAGGGTGCAGTGGTCGAATATCCATAGTGTGTCTATGTCATTTTATCGCACAGTGGATCACATCTGATAATATTTAGCCCTATGTCTGGAGGACACTTCATTAGTCCAGCCGGTGTCAGCAAGTATCTTGAACACCGTCGCCAGGCGTTCGAGTGCTGGTGCAGCTTGTTGTCGCTCGATGTCCCGGTGTTTGTTGCAATTCGGACGACGACTCACGGGTCCTATGCATCTTGTGACAAGTGTGGTTTAAGTGGTAAGCTTTCTCCTGCTTGATGCCTTTCCACTCTGATTTCTGTCCAGTTTCTCTTGATGAGAAATTTGAAACCACAGCCATGACTGTGGATTATCCTTCCTTTGATAAACACGGTGGTGAGTCTCTTTTTTCATTGACCATGTTTATCTCTTAAATACACATTTTAGCAGCCATGCCTGCCTCCTCTCCTATGAGCGGTTTCGCAGTGCATGGCCTTGCGCCCCAGCCAAGACGGCAGGGTTTGAGTCGCCGTTGTTCAACGGTCGGGTATTTGGCCAGAGGCATAACTCCTGGTATCCATCCATACCATTAGTCGCGTTCCTCATATTCTAACCCTCCCATCAGTGAGATCACACACGAGAGCCCCTATGCCCTCGTCGAGCCCCCCTTCGATCTCCAAGTTGCGGCGAGAGTTTCGAGGCCACCAAGAGGAGCCTGAGAGCCCCTTGCGACATGCACAGGCCACCAGTCCAGTCCGCTTCCTCTCATTATCATCCCCAACGTCATCCACTGCAGCGGGGTTGTTATACAGCGGTAACAATGCTGGTGCCTCCTCTTTGCAATCAGGCTCTAGATCTTCTGGACCTGCAGAGGAAAGCACCCTTGAGTTCTGTGATAGGTGCTTTGCTGCTTACCCTGTAGAGATGTTTGCCAGTCACTGTTGCTGTCCTTGAGCCACAAATCGTTTACTTGCACTAGCGCACATCTGCGAAAAATATAATAATCATTACTAATAATGCTAAAGAGTCCTTGGGGACTTAGAGTGATACCTTACTTGTTTTGAAGTTGATGCGATCAGGCCATTGGCCGGTATGCCGAATGATAACAATCGCTCGTCAATTGTTACCGTTCGGTGTATACGGTCAATGGCCTGATCCCATCAACCTCCAAAATAGTAAGCTAGCACTCTAAGTCCCCAAATACTCCTTAGCATTATTAGTAGGATTATTATATTTTTCGCAGATGTGCGCTAATGCGAAGAGAACTGTGGCTAAACGTTCTGTGGCTCAACGACGACAACAGTGGCTCACAAACATCTCTACAGGGTAAGCCACAAAGCACCTATCACAGAACTCAAGGGTGCTTTCCTCTGCAGGTCCTGCTGATCTAGAGCCATATTGCGAAGAGGAGGCACCAGTGTTGTCCAGCGATGTTACCGCTGTACATCAATCCAGCCGCAGTAGATGACGCTGGGGAAGATAATGAGAGGAAGCGGACTGGACTGACATCCTGTCCATGTCGCAAGGCTGTTTCAGGCTCCTCTCGCTTGCCTCGGATCTCTCATCGCAACTTGGATATTGAGGGGGGGCTCGATGAGGCCATTGGTGCTCTCGTGCATGATTTCACTAATGGGAGGGTTAGAATTTGAAAAACACCACTAATCGAACTATACCAGGAGTTCCACCTGTGGCCAAATACCTGACCATTGAATGATGGCATCTCAAACTGTCTTTCCTGGGACGCAAGGCCATGCGCTGTGAATCTGCTCATAGGAGAGGAGGCGGGCATGGCCGCTACGATGGGTATTCAAGATTTGCATGATCCCGGGTTGCCTCAATAACAATATTCTTATTATACATAGTTATTATTTATGTGACCCATCTACCACCTATCCTTTTACCTGGCCTAGCTAGTGAGTGATCATATTAACCTTGTGTATGCGTTATGATTCAGACTATAAAACTGTGTTTGTAAGCCTGTGACAGAACGATTATGATGCAACCAGTGACAATTGTGCTGTAAACCAAGTGAACTCAGGTTTTGAGGACTCTGGGGGAATATTGCTAAGCCTCGTCCGGACCGCTGGCAATGATATCGGGGCGCTGGCCGACATGCCGAATGGTAACAATCGACTGATTACTGCGAGTACGTATGGGCAGGGCTGCTGCAGATAAAATGGGGACTGGCAATCCCTGCCAAATTTAAGCCCTGACCATAATTTCCCACCATGCAAATTTGTCCTGCACGAATGGTGTACCACATAGGGACTCAACCACATGGTCTGCATACAAGGCAATATGAGCAAGCTATAATGTAAGGACCCTGCAAAATTTTGTTGGCAAAATATTTGTGATTTTTCTGCAGTAAGGTATAAATGTTTCAATGGTCACATCCTTGCCGTGACATTTTTTGATTTCTGCTGCCAATGAATTATGCAAAATTATCGAATAATTATTCTTGGACCCAGATTGGGTACAAATGTCTGTTGTGTCAGCTGGCATGCTGACAACACCACCTGGTGTAACGACATGGTTTACATAAGCAAATTGGATGCATCCCATGTTGAGGATTTGTAAGAATTCACCTCTTAAAAGGGCCCACAAGTGAACAGAATCTCTCTCTATTGCAGACTAGCAAATAGCAAGACAAGATGTGCACTGTAGTGGTAGATAAAAGGTGATGATGCTTATGTAACTAACCACAACAGTCCATATACAGGCAAATGCCCCCAGGGCCCTAAATGCCTATAAATCCACATTCTTACAGGATCTGACATCAAAGTGTGTTGAATTGGACACATTTACGTGTCAGCCATGTCCGATGGGGACCTTGCCAGGCAGTAGATGGTCTAGGACGTTTCACACGTGGTCACAAGCACAAAAAGACCATCTTTGTCGATTAAATACAGGTGCAACAGTGGCCCACCATGAGAAAGAAAGAAGTGCTTACCAAGCCACTTAAGCTTAAGATCCAAGCTCTACAGCAAGCCATTACAAGCTTCCAGGCTCACCAACATACAGAGTCTGGTAGCAGGGGAATGACGAATGTTGCAACCACTGAATTGGAACTCGATGAGTACACTGACGAAGAGTAATAAAGTACCTGGTAGCTTTATATTATCACATAAACTGTTTCCATAGTCTTTCCATAGGCAAGTGAGGCCACAACAGGTTGTGTGAGTCGACGAGAGCGGTGTGCCACTGCATAGTGGGCATTTGGTTTACATAAGCGTCACAAAAGTCAAAGCGCCATCACCAGTCCCCAGATAAAACTGTAGTAATACTATCATGTGACGGGAGTTTGAAACACATGACCTAATAATGTCGTCCCACATTACAAATCCATCCCTGAAATTGCTTTTGTGTGAATTACCCGCACGTTCGGGAATTGGCCATCACTGCTGGCCACAGTCAGAGAGGACCCCTGAAAATCCATATACATCCCTGGGCCAAGTCTGGACAAAAATTTGGATTTTTTGAGAAAAGGCCTGGGCTGATCCGGACAATTAAGGCCTTCAGGACGATTTAGGGCTGGGCTCGATCTGGACAATTCAGTTTGAATATTGGTAGGTGTGGGCCACCATCCAGACAAGTTCTATGACAGTGTGGCATAGTGGTTTAGGTCATGTAGTTTGTGCCGTTTTTCATGGTCTTGGTGTCTATTTTCATGCAGACCATTTCTTTTGTCTCTTTGTTCTTTTGATGGGACTAAACAGAGTGTGATGCTAAGTGGTCAACCGGTCACCAATAGCAGTCACTAAACTACTAACCACTAACCCCATATA